TTGTTTGCGCAATCCGGTTCATTTGTTGGCAGGCAAACTATGAATTTCTAGGTACATGGAAGGACGTAGAGAATCTCCTAAAAAGGTTGACGAGTGAGTTCCATTAGCGATCGGTGAACATTTATGAAGGAATTACAACGGGGGATAATGTCGACAGAAATGTGCACAGATCGATGCAGTGCTGTCTCTTCTGCCTCAAGTCGGCCAATTATACAGAAAATGTACCGTCTCATGAAATGTTAGCCGAAATCCCAAAATGTATTTCCAATTCAAAAGGCTAATTTAAGTTAATTTTCGTGTAGTACAATCCCACGATAGTGCAGTCACTTTAGGATGTTAGCGTTAGAGTGAGCTTTTTTTCTGGCCGCCATCAAAAACTACATTCTGCAAAAATTGCCACCTAAGTAGTAGGAAGTTTTCGCATTGATTTTCGACGCCCTCAAGAATTCAAATATTTCATAGGAAACGGGCACAAAAATATTCTTTTTTACAATTAATTGTTTCTCATATTATATACACGAGGGCCGATTTTGGACCTTTAAGCTTTAATAATCTCATAATTAGACACCTTGGGCAACAGAAAGACATGTTTTGTTTGAGCATAAAATTGGATAGAAGTATTTTGCTGCTAAAAATACAAAAAATAATATTTTCATTTATGTTTTCTATAAAATATAGTTGAATTTATAAGTATATTGGAAGTTAATGGAAAAAATCATATTATTCAAGTCATATTTTTTTACAGTGTAAAAACAAGTCAAAGGTACATCGATAAAGTCACCGCTGTACGGCTTGATTGCTGAAACAGTATTGCAGCGACTGGAGACACTGGCATTCTATCACTATGATGGCGCATTTTTCATCATCATCAGTCGGAACAGGATTGGGGATTTCAGAGAGAATCTGAACGCCAGACATACAGTTCACGATAGAGGAAGAAATGACTGCCAGTTGCCATTAATCGAAGGGCCGGTACACATAAAAGGCAACGAGGAACCCAAAACAACAGTTTACAGGAAGGTGACGAATAATTCTTGTATTCTGAGTAACCTTAGCAACAGCCCAATCTCGCACGAACGCAGCTGCGTGAGAACACTGTACCGTCGAGTTGAAACCCATTGCACCTAACCAGCCGACAAGAGGGCTGAGGTACAGTTTCTGCGGAAACGTCACGGTTAATGGATATCTTGGCAGTTTTTCAGAAAGATGCAAGCGAGAAGTCAAGAGAAGAAAAGCGAAAGGGCAGCTAAAACCGAAATGTTGGCGAGCAGTGCCTTAAATAGCCGGTATATTCGAAGAATCAGCTAGAAGTGAACGTTAGATCGAGTAAAATCGAGGTCAGTCACTCTTTATAGCTATTGATTCTGTCCTGGTTTATGACGACGAAAGTGTCGCCAACGTAGAGTCGGATACATAGTAAGCCTCCCTCGGTGACAGCTCCTTCTTTTTTGACTTGTCACCCAGGAATCGCATTTTTACCACTGAGTTCGATGATATCCACAAGAGAACTTCAGCAGACGCGTGTCCGTCGCCTGGAACGCGAGAGAGATGATATCCGAGCACGTGACGCCAATGACCCGCGCATCGTCGA